AATCCTATGTAGCATTTTCTTAATTTCTTAGACTTAAAAATGCACAAAACAAAATAATAAAACAAAAAAAAAAACAACTAAAATAATTTTTTTTTAAAAAGCAAAATAATAAAAACCAAACCCTTATTTTCATGAACCAAATCCTAGCACAGAGATTGATTGGAGAGAGTACCAAATCCTAACAAATTTTAGAGAGATCTGCATAAACCTTATCACCAGTGAATTTAAAATGTCATTTAAAAAAAAACAAATTCCTGTAAATCCAGAGGTAATCATGTTTAAAACTGAAGTCATTACATATTTTATAAAAATACAAAATTTATGTAAAAATGTCTAAATGTGTATGCCTTCCCCGTCCATCGGACGGGTCTAACACCTAGTTACTTATAATAATAATAATATGATTGCAAGGACATTCTATTCCCAATGAACTTAATTACTCGTCTAAATAATAGTAACATAAATAAGCATTGGTATGTCCGTTTGAAACCCTAAAACATGAACATTCCGGAACAAACTGACCAGGGAACCGGAAAGGAACTCCAATTTGCCATGTTGCAGTTTTTCGGTTACTACAAGATGTGTTGTTTTTCTTAATCTTTTGTCTTGCCTTTCTTCCGGCCAGAAGTTTGCCTGTCCATTTAACTGAAGCAAAGGCCTTCCAAAGCAATAACACTCGGGATACTAATGATAAATTCCTCGCAACAACGCACTACACGTATTTTCCGAACATGCCGAAGTGGAACCGAACATCTCCAATAATTCTAAACTATACTTTCTTACCGGACCACATGATCCGGAGTTTGAGTCTAGCGGATATTAGGCTTGTATTCCAACGGGCGTTTGGGCGTTGGGCCGCTGTAATTCCGATGACATTCATAGAGACAAATGACGTTAAACATGCTGATATCAGGATTGGATTCTATTTCGGAGATCACGGTGACGGATTTCCTTTTGACGGGCCGTTTGGAATCGAAGCCCACTCTGACCCACCAGAACTTGGGTCACTCTATCTCGACGGAGCTGAACGGTGGGCCATCGATCTAGATACTCTGAAGTTAAAAGGGGCTGTTGATTTAGAATCAATAGCGGTCCATGAGATTGGGCATCTGCTAGGGTTGTTCCATTCGACATTCAAGAATGCAGTTATGTACCCATATACGCCTGCTCAGGAGCGAAAGGTGGTTCTTTCTAAGGATGACGTGGATGGGATACAAAAATTATACAGAGCAAACCCTAATTTCAAATCCGGTCCTAACTGGAAGAGTTCGAGTTGGAGTACTCTCACGGAAACAAGAAGAAGTCTTGGTTGGAGCATGCTGTTGGGTGTGATGGGTTCTCTTTTTTATTTTTTTTAATCGATTGAGAGAGATTACAATAGAATTAGTTTACTCGCAAATTTTTGTTTTCTACTTCCCGTGTCAAGAAATTCAATTAAGTTTGGCTTTCTTTGAGATCTTGGTAGAGAAAAAAAAAAAAAAAACTGGAGTTTTGCAACACTTGTTGTAAGTGAAGACAACATAAACAGGCTAGCCAACTGATGTATGAGTACGCACGGAAGGTTGATTCGAGATGGGGGACTTGCCAAATTCCATTAGTGGATCCCTTCCAAAATAAGATCAAAATAATTGTTATATTTATTGTACTCCCTCAGTCCCAAAATTATTATCTAGTTTGAGATTTTAGGTTTAGTACAATTTGGACTAGAAATAAAAGTCCAAACTCGTGGAAGAAGGTTGCTCAGCTTGCTTCTCAGCTCAGGCAAATATCCGAAAGGTGGCCCAAGAACTTGAGCAGGATGATCTAACTTAAATCTTTCATCAACATGACTTTATTATATGCATGTTTTGCTTCATTTGTACATTTTTGTTGTGTGTTCTATGATTGTCCAACTTTTTAATAGTGTAATTTTTAGTTATTATGTTCCCAATGAATTGTCTTAAACTAATTTCATCTACAAAATTCAACAAGTATTACTCCCTCTGTCCCATAATTATTGTCCAGTTTGCCAAAAAACTTTTGTCCCAAAATTATTGTCCAATTTGACATTTTATGGATTAAGTTACATATATACTCTTTATAAAAAACATCTATTTCACTGGAATCGACATTTTATCCGGTCACACAATAGAAATACACTTCACCTAAAAGATGACACCGGCATCTCCATCGAGCCCTTTCTCCCCGTTCAAATGTCCGACGGCGAGGTCATCAAGATTGGTAAGTTGACAGGGATTAAGGTTACGGTTGTCATGGAAGCGGTGGCCGAGAAAATTAGAACCGCCGAAGAAGGGCTTGGAATCAATTTCTCAAAAGTCGATCTGGATGCAATTGTCCTTCCTTTGAGAGAACATTTCAGAGTTTTCTGTGGCGATGAAGATTTAATCCACGATCAAGAAGAGTTGGAGGGTGGGAAATTGGGGCTGCCTGGTTGTTGCTGAAGTGAATGAGACGAAATTCGAGAACGGAGATAATTTGGGAGGAATGGTGGATCTGGGACATTGGATTGATGAGAAGAGTGAAGAGAAGAACTCGTTGCAATCCATACCATATAAGAACTCTCCCGTAGGCTAGAAGCACCGCATTCATAAACATCAAATTGGACCATCTGAAAATTTGGTTTGACAATGAAGAATGACATGCTTGAGTTTTAATCGAATACTTGAATTGGGGCTGAGAAAAAAGTAAAGTAAATCTATAATTTCTTTGTCGGGAAGTTTAAGTCAAAATATAGTTGAGTTTGACTAAAAATAAATTCTTTCATCTTAGCCAAACTGGACAATAAATATGGGACGGAGGGGTTATTACTCAGCTCTCCATATTGATAGGGTACTACAAAGTCAGAGTATTTTAAGAATGAAAAATAAAAAGAAAATATGGAAAGCATATTTAGTTGTGCACTTTGAACATAAATCTCCACTCTATTTCATACATAAAGATAGACTTTTGGAGGATGGTTTCGACGGGTTTCATATAGCATACATTACGTAAATCGACTAACATAATTGTTTCTTATAACGAAGTTTATGATCCTGCAAGATATATATGGTACCATATGATTAGAGACGATAAAAGGACCATGAATCACAGTTCTAGCAATAAAACATTTGTATTCCTTTTGTCCCGAATAAACATTTGTGTGTCTCTCCGGCGTAATATGTACTCCCCAAAATTCCCATTCTTTGTCGGCTAGGCAATTTTATGGAGCTTGCCTAATTAATGATATTGCATAGATTTATAAGCATGGAGTTTCTCACATCAAAGAAGAATTACTTGGTAGTATTAAAAAAATTTAGCTGTTCAGGAAATTTAAAGTCTCTTCCGGGATAAATTTTTCAATGTACAAAAAAGGATATTGACTTCGAAACATTTCCTAAATATTCATCATCATCTATAAATCTCCAGTTACATAAATATATTACTGCTAATACTTCATACAAAAGATGGAGAACTGCGATCCTACCTTCGTTATTTAACATCAAACAAATCAACTACTTGTCTTAAAGGGCCGGTACACTAACAACCCCAGCAATAGAACCAGCAGCAGCTGCAATTGAGATGATAGACCAAATTCCGAAGAGAGTATTGCAGAACTATTATCATCATAGAAAACAAATTGATTAAACAAATACTAGTAATCCACGTTCTACGCATCCGAAAAATCATCTAAACATGTAGATCGAGCTAGGATATACACAACTAAAATACATTTTTAATACAGCAATATTGATTATACATATTGGTTCTCTTACAGGTTTACTAACTTGATCGTCAGAGCTAATTCTATTGTCTCAAGACTTATTTAAGTGATTTGCAATATTGGAGTCGGGTTATCACCGGTTTGAGTATCAGAATTATACATTTAGCAACATTTTCTGTTGGACTATCTAATCAAGATTGCTGCCCTGGGAAGTAGCATGTATGTGAACATATTGGAAAACCATATCTAAGTTATTGGGTTGTTGTGCATGGAATTGTTGATAATCTTTCAATGTATTTGCTGCCGGATTTTTTGAAAATGTTAAGGACAATTATTGCATGGGGGAATCCGTTTTATTTGCTTTGTAGCCATCTCCCTTATATGGTCTATACATAACCACTATATTGCTAGACTACCTTGTGTATGAGGAAATTAATTACTGAAATTTTCTGGTTACCAGGTTTTGGTTAGTTCTACAGGTTATAACTGATGTGAGACTCTACCTATATAATTGGAGCTTGAAATTTTTGAACCAAATGAAATTTTCATTGACAATGAGTTGTTTTAAGACGGTAATGTACCTCGCTTTTCGGTGAAAGCGGTAAACGATTTGACAAAGTTCTCGATTGTACGTTCCCCTGCATCTTGTTGAAATATTGAACAATTTCACGACGTTTTATTCAAAACCAAATGCAGCTGTTGCGAATTTTGCGTTCATTATTTCGATTCGGCCTCCAGTGATATTTGGATTTGTGTGGCTCTGAAATCTGGCGAAGTTGATCAAATCTTTGTCCGGATCAACTTCGGTCACGGAGAAGAAAAAATGAAAATGAGAATCGGAGTTCAGAATGAATGTTCTCCAGCAAAAAGCTTTTTGAATCGCAACTGATCATTATTGCAACACCTTAAAACCCAAGTCCTTCAATGATGGTCTATAGATGAGTCAAACAAGGAAATAACATATCTCCAAGTGTTCAAGTTCAGGGCATCCACAAAAGACCAAATCCCTTGCCATCAGAAAACGTAGCCTGATGAAGAATCAACAGCTTCTCAGATCGGGAAACTTAAGACAGGAAAGAGGAGAGAAAGTACGAAATGGTAAAGGGGGAGTAGTTCATATTAAAGAACCGCTTCATTTCATTTTTGTAATAATAATGTATTTGCCCAAGTGCATTTATCAAAATGCCCCTACTGATTTTGAATACATGGTCACACATCTTTTCTGTTTAAAGAATTGAAAAACACACATTATTATTCAGAAAATGCAGAAAAACTGAACCATACTTCTTGTGCAAAGCGATCAGGGGCATTTGGGATTTCTTCCTGGTCCACCAAAATAAAAGTGATCTCCATCATTTCTATTTTTATACAATGCAATGTCGTAACAGCCATCAGCTTCGCTATCAACCAAAGTATAGATCTCATCATCTTCTCCAGCAGGTCTCAAATTGTCGAATTCATCAAGCACTTGAAGATTCTTAAAATAACTCGATCCTCCGTGTCCTTCCTTATGAGCAAAATGTCCACTTCCCATCTGAGTTTTTGTGTGTTGGTCATTTGGTTTTTTATTCACCACTTCTCCACCCCATTGGATTTCATCAGCACTTTCCTTCAGGTTAGTGAACAAAAAATCAGGCCAATATCCGAATGCCACATTCTGATAACTCACCCACCAAGACTTTTGGGTGGAATCCTTCCAAATAAAAAGATCAATATGGAATTGGTCACCATGATAAGTCGAAACAGGTCCAAAGGTACCACCTACGACAATTCTTTTCGAAACCTGAACAAAACCCGGGCACATTAAATTGTAACACCCGTGTTGGTAGTCATCATATGTCCAGTAAATGAAGAGACGGGTGCGATTATCTTGGTAAAAACCCGGGAACACCTGCCACCCGGCTTCGATGGTGTTTAGGTTCGAATTAGAACCTCTTAACACCCAAATTTGAGCCAGGCTGAATTCGCCGTCGTTTTGAACATATGGTTGCCAGACGTTTATACTTGCCTTTGCTCCATGGTAGTAATGATCGTGCACGTGAGCACCAACGTGCTCGTGCCCTTCGGTAACATTTGTTGAGGAGGATGATCGATAAGAGCTTGATCCAGGTGGTCGCTTCTTTGCATACTTATTGATGACTTCCTGATCAGTTTTTGTTCTTCTTATAGGAATGGTTCCTTCTGGGCAGCTCCCTTTTAATTGCCACAACTGAGTGATTTGGTTTGTTGAGTCGCCGCCATCGGGAAAGATTCCTTGAGGATAAAAACTTGGAGCTGTGTGAATGGTGTGATTCTTGAGCAGAGGATGATCAAATGCCGGTTGCTGATGAATTGAGATACAATCAATTATGTCACCATCTGGGCTGTTAATGGTTTTGAGTGGGATTCTTTTCCTGATCGATCGTGATCCATCACATTGAACGATAATGACAAATAACAACAGTAAGGATAAGGAAAAGAGTTTTAAGAGCTTCATGACAATATTGAAATTGTTGATCTGATGCACTTTACCTAGAATTGACTGTGTGAAAAAGGGTATGGAAATAAATATAACCTGACCCTCAAAGTGGCATACACTCAATGATTCAGATGGATTATAATTTAAGCTAACTAGAGATCTAATGAAGTCACTCAATTAAACTTCCCTTTTTGTATAGCCTTTCAAGAAACTGGAGTTGGCAGCCTTACACAATTCTATTACTAAATTGGAGATGAAACTAATCTGCTAGCAAACGTAGCACGTTTTGCGGAATTCCAAAGTGTAGCACATTACTTCTAAGAATTTTGGTTTACTTATCTCTCCACGATTGGACGTATTCTGATTTGATGATTTAACTAAAATTACTCAAAGTTCTGGGTAGATTGATGCTTCATTGAGATGATTCCAACGAGAAATTATTCAGTGTAACTGCTGTACCACATAGGATTGTACAACCAGACACAATAATAAGGGTAAAGTAGTAATTTTGGGGCGAGAGATAATTTCTACGGGAGTTAAAACACTAAAATAGGGGGTGCTAGTACTTGCTACACTAAAACCCATGATACAGCAGCTGTACCCAATAATTTTTCGATTCCAACAGGAAATGTATCTCTATCTGGTGTGTTACGATTTCAAGACTAACCCCTAACTTAGCATCAATAATACTGCCCTGTTTTAGCAGGTTCGATCTTAATGCTTCAGATTGAATGTATTTAAATTGTTCAAAAAAAAAAAAAAAAAAAAGTTTAATCCTTTAATTATCACAACACTTGATTATGTGAAAATTGGGTATCCGCCTATATGGCTATATAACCCACAAAGGGACATAATCAATCATATCTAAGTGAAACTTATTACTACTACTAAGAACAGATGATTGCTCTTCTTTTGATCCATTCTTGAAGTAAAGAATGTGTCTAACCTGTCTACAGGTCAAACAGCCATGATCCATAAATACCATGTCCCAACCATTTTAGGTTTCACTAACTAATCTCACCATGTAAAATGTAAAGTAAAAGTAAGGGTAACACATTCCAGAACATAAACCTTCTAAGGTGAATAAGTAGTTTTCATAAGGAGTGCGAGAGTAGAACAAACAATGGAGCTCTGGTGTGTCTGTGATCGCAAGTGAATCAGGATAAATGCCACAAAACCTTAAATTCAAACCTCTTCAAGGAAGGTATAGACATACGGTAGGTGCCTCTAGATGAGCGAAAGCGTGAATACGATATGTCGTCTTCAAGTACGTACAGGGTATCCATAAAAGAAGAATCCGGTATCATTACTAAAACATAACCTGGCTAAGAATCAACAGTTTCAGAAGATTGGGAAACGTAGGGATCAGTGTAGGATCCAGAATTTTCGAGAGACAAAAACATTTACTCAAAACCAACTTCACCAACGCAGTGAAGCCATTAAGACTGCAATCAACTTACTACTACCAGTACTAGGATCTTTAATTGAGACCTTAAGTTGAACACTTTGGACGCGAAGCCTTACAGCAGCGCTAACGCAATAAACAATACAAACATCCTCACACGTTTTTTGACAGATGAGTATGAGTTCATGTATCCAAATGGCATGCTCCAGCAGCCTATTCATAACACGAAGAACAAAATTTAAGAAATGATTCTTGTTCAGGATAAAGAATTATTAAGTTGTTTCACCATCTCAGGTGAATAAGATGCTTCGCCAAAATACTTCCACCAAATGGTGAAGTTCCAACTCATCACATTTTATGTGGTTCTTACAAGAATATTAAAAGATTGAGAAATGCGATTGTCGATGTTATGAATCCAGAAAGAGTTGCAACTTGCAAACTTATTTCAATGAATGAATTCAAGATGAAACACATAACATACTGAGATTTCAGAACTACTTGGAAAAGACAGAAAACTGTACATATGCAGCAGTATTAACTCTCTTCCTTCCCATTAAATCTCGAGCAAGAAACAAGCACAGGTTGAATAAAGACCTTCAGATCAGAATTCCTCAGGTCCTCTTGTTCTACTTCCTCAATCTCTTTCACAGACTCAACCACATCGTCAGAGCACCAAGCGACCTCGATCATCGTAAGTGTCGAAATGTTATCGAGGCAAATAGGCATCTCAGTCAAACTTGAACAGAAGTTCAATACCAACTTTTCAAGGCAGCCCAATTGATTATCAGAGTCACTACTCCACGAGAGAAGAGTCCTGGACTTCAACTTCAAGATTCTAAGCTTTGAGAACTCCTCTTCTTCCATTCTCCATGTTGTCTTCGAAATTTGCATTGAATATTTTTAGGACCTCAAGGTTTTGCAATTTACCAATGGTAGAAAGACTGCTCCCGGACAAATTGAAGCCATCCAATGTTAATTTCTTCAGATTTGCAGGAAAACTAGAGTCAAACATAAAACCCTCAAGTACGTCAAGATATCCCCAAAACATGTTATTAGATAAATGTTGGAATAAATCCATATACCGTAGACACGTTCACATCAGATTTTCGAGAACTATACGAAAGCGGAAGCGTACCTTAATCTGTAGCGGCAAGAACATCGATTCGGGTTTGGCCTTCCAGATGATTCCGTCAAGCCCTTGCGGGAACCTCTGACAAATGGGGAGTCGAGATTTGGCATGACGGCTCATCCGGGGACTACAACCAATATATAATAGGGTTTCCGGTTCCACCCATCACAGAACAGGAAACTGGGCTTTAGGGTTTCTACACAATACTGGGCCACACCTTAAAACTTAATTATTATAATTAGTCCAAACTTTAGTTGATTTAATTAGATCACTTTATGTGGGCTAGTTTTTTATAATAGCTTATAACATACAATTATATATATTTGTGTATAAAGTCCATATAGATTTTACAATCTCCCACTTGGACTATACACCATATATATACCTTATAATTGTATATTATACCAAAAACTTAAGAGTTCGCAGAATTTGCTATCATAAAGTGACTTAAACAATCCCGTCCATTAATTATATAAGCATAGGATCAAAGGGGCAGTCGTTGAACTAATGACAACTAAACCAATCAGTGGTCACGTACATTAAGATAGCTAAATGACATGGATCAAGTGTGGATGTGTAGTATGGAACTTTCATGTAATGTGATCTTTAACATGTCTATTTCCAACTGGTCCTCTTTATACTTCAGTGAGATCAACCAAAGTTTCAGAATGTAAGCACACTGAAAAAACTTAACCTTATACCTTAAACTTTACTTGATACTTTAGACTTTGTACTGCAGTATTAATTAATATCTGAATGTTCATAAATGTATGAACCCTTAGTAAAAACCAAAATTACTAACTCCCACTAAATCTCATATCATCAGATTACACAACACTCATTTAAGCAAGATACTCACCAAATACCTTAGCTGAAGTAATCTTTGATATTGGAGTTTGTCCAAATGTGCTCATTAAAAATTTGTTCATTCTGAACTTAAATCTAACAATTAAGAACTTAATGTTCATTGTTATTAGGGTATCTTAAATTGTTGCATTATTGTCACATTATAACTTAAATAGTCTTTTAAGACCATACTATATTTGCAGCCTTGTGACAATATCGACAACTAAACTGAATCGAAGTCAGGATACTGAATGATCTCTAACTTGACCGAACTTCGATATGTGAGAGTGTAAATAGATTGTCTTATTTAAGGGAACTTATTTAAGCTCATAGATGGAGTTCTTTAATTTGCAAACCATCAAATAAAGTTTTCTGGTTGCACCAAATAGATTATCTCAAAATATCGCCATTAAAAAACATTCTCTTAATACCCATCTAATGAAGGCTAAAAACAAAAATGTACTATATATGCCATTATAGACTATAGTCTTAAAATCTGGAATTCCAATAATGCCAAAGAGAAGGTCTCTATATGATAATGCCATCTTTATGACTAAATTCTTTATTGACAAAATAACTCTTATATCTTTTTACATCACCTTTGGATAATGAGAAAAGAACCTAAATGTTATTTTTATCAATCACTTTATTTCTTTATTTTATGGCATTAATAGTAAGTGCAATTCTTCTCTCTCGATTGGATTCCCTTAATGACATTCGTACTTGAGATTATTGAGTTTGTCTTTTACAATTGTCTTGATGAGGTAATGTTTTAACACTATCTTGAATTACCATATGAATAGAAAAATATTCCCTTTAAAGATAATGTCATTAAACTTATCTTCCCCTCCAAACTCAATATTCTCAAGAAACTAGATATTTCCCTTAAACACTTTAATGTGTCCAACAAAATAGCAACAAACCAAGTCCAATTTCGTTTCTGTAGACCTATGCGGCCTTGCCTTAACTGGATAACTCAAAACATGGAAATGCCTGTAGCTAGCTTATTTGCGTGTCCATAATCCACCAGAATTGTTGTTTTAGTTGGGGCACTGTCAAATCTATAAACTGCAGTCTTTTAATTCTTCTTTCTCTTAGTAAGTTTAACTAAGTAGTATAATTTGTCATACTACTTAGTCGATTCTTTTGTTTCTGAATTTGTCTTATAATAACACTATTAATAGTTGTACTTTCTGGCATAGTGTTACTATATGACGATACCATATTCAATAAGAAATTTGACCAATGACCCTAGACATAATTCACATAATACTTAATTCGTTTGTAAAATTCATCTAGTCTTAAAACTTTTAACAAGTCTAGTCTTAGTACTTCTCATGGGTAAAGAGGTAACTCTATGAAGTTGTTTGTGAACATAATACAATATGCATGACCATTCTAAAAGAAAACCATAAACAATGGTTTACATATATCCATATGTATTAGTTCTAACAACATCTGAAAAAACCTTATGCCGCCCAATCTTATTTTGTTTGCTTTTTTTTTATTTTTATTTAGTACACTTAACACAGATTTCTTTTTAGAATCTGATAAGTCAAGTGATTTAAGAATTTTGACGAACTTTATTATTTGTCTAAAGCAAGTGCTTTAAACAGTTTTACCAAACTGATACGAAATTTCTATTACCAAATTTTCTTTTGGTACCACATTAATTATCATGCAATGGTCTTAAATAAATAAAAGGTTACCATTACTTAATAAATAATTGAATTGACTTTCTTTGAATTTTGAAAGAGACTAACAGACTATTACCAAAGGAACAAAGTAACCAGAATTGTTCAATTTGGAAACATAAATTGAGTTCCACCTAAAAAAAAAATGGAACAATAAATGTCTCTCTCAAATTCAAATAAAATTCAGTCTTTAATGATAACCTAAAAATTTATTGTCTCAACCGTAATTGACTCACCAATGCTCCATATAGATGTGTCTTTCAACATCAATTGGCTTTTGGTGATTCAAACAACCTTGCATAGATACACTTGTGTGAGCAGTGTTACCAGAATCCACCCACCAATTATGTGTATAGGTACCAAAATCAAATGAACCTTAAAACGAACATTCTTAAAGTCAAACAGAGAAGTACTATCACAAAAGTAACAACCAAATTTAATTTCCTATTTTTGCTTCTTTTGTGATACTATATATTTCAACTTAATTATCTTTCTTTTATTACTTTATTTTTCTAAATCTTAAATATAAGTGAGCACTTATAATTATCTCTTAATTTAATCTCTCGTCTTATATACAAAATGGAATGAGCTCATTTACCATAAAACTATTCTTAACTTAACTGTATTTTGTATGACAGAGATCGATTCTTATTGCACGAAAAAGTCATAAGACAGTTTTCACTTTAGCGTCTTTAGCCTTAGTCCGAGATAATACCTTGAATAATACATTTTCGTATGTTCCCTTTTTCCTTATACCTTATGGAAGCAAGATCTCTTGAAAGAGTATTCATTCCCGCTTTATTGTTTTGACAAAATATTTTATAATAGAAACATGTTTGTATTATCTTATACCGTGCTCTTTAATTTTCTTTAATATTTCTTGCTAGTTCTTGAAAGTCTTAACGGATAACTAAAGCAAATATAACTAAAATAACGGAATCAACTGTATTAAAAAATAACCAAACACAAACTCACATTTAAAACTTAATATAACATGATTAATAAATTCAAATCGGCATTCCCCATTTACAAGATACCTAGTGCAACATTGGGTTTAGTCTTTAGACAGAAACATCAATTTGCAAGTGGTACTCTTGGTGTAGTAATCAAATATTGATAATTCAGTCCTATCAAATAATAAGCCTTTCTTTGGACCGACTTATTGTTCACATGGAATAATCATAATAATTATCACATATTTATTACCACAAGAATGTTTTAATTTCGGCCAAATAACGACCTTCCTTTGGGCCGATCATTACCCGCATGAAATCAAAACACACATAACTGTCATCTTTGGCGACATATTGTACTAATCAATCAATTTAATAAATATTAGATGTCTAAAGATAGATTTTCTTTATACCAAATTTGAACTTATATCACATTAACCCATAACCCATAACGGAAAAACTAAATTCTGATATGCTAATGATGAACGCAGAAAAACCGAATCAAGTGTTCAAATCTTTAGCCAATTAATCCACAAACAAAGAAGAACACTGAAACCACAAACTATAGTAGCCACCGAATTTGCTCATATATGCAATCTCAAACAAGAGTAGCAAGACCAAACTAAATACCGTGAAGACAAAAAAACCGTTTTTTTTTCTTTTACCCAAAGTTATGAACGAAAAAAAAACGGAACCTTCACCAAAATATCGAGACCAAATACCAAAAAACCAAAGCTTTACATCGAGACCAAATCGACAACCGAAGTACTAAACTGAAAACAAAATCATAACTATTTTTTTTCCCGGTGAAAGGGTAAATTTATATTAACTTCGCCACAAAATCATAACTATTGAGCCAATTTATTGCAAAAGTTTCTATGCTGCCGGTCACAATCCCCAAATCGACTAACAACAATCCGAAATGGTCTCAACATATATTAATCGATCAAAATTGATTTCTTGGGCTGAATACGAAACAAAACCTTAATGTACTTAATTATTTTGTATTGCACAAGTGGCTGATCGAAAGTTTAAACAAATAAAGAACCCAATTTTATTAATTAATCAAATTAATAAACCAAAAAAGGCCAGAGTCAAGTACTTAAAGCTCAGGCTTTAGCAAACCGAAACAAAATTCGGAAAAAAACTAAACCCGAAAACCTAAATATAATTAATCAATTATGACCAAATTTTGCCATAGTTCATTGATCAAAATTGATAAACTAAAGCCAAAAGACCGACACCAAATAAATCAATATAGAACAGAAAAACAATTACCGAAAAACACCACTGATGCCTTTCAATTACTGCTTGGTCACAGCGGTAAACCCCAAAATCAAAAGGTATCAACGATTAGCCAAACAATCACATAAATTATGTTATGACCGAATTTCCCAATAAATTAAATATGAAGGAAGCTCTGATACCACTTGTTGGAATAAATCCATATACCGTAGATACCTTCACATCAGATTATCGAGAACTATACGAAAGCGGAAGCGTACCTTAATCTGTAGCGGCAAGAACATCGATTCGGGTTTGGCCTTCCAGATGATTCCGTCAAGCCCTTGCGGGAACCTCTGACAAATGGGGAGTCGAGATTTGGCATGACGGCTCATCCGGGGACCACAAAAAATATATAATAGGGTTTCCGGTTCCACCCATCACAGAACAGGAAACTGGGCCCTAGGGTTTCTACACAATACTAGGCCACACCTTATAACTTAATTATTATAATTAGCCCAAACTTTAGTTGATTTAATTAGATCACTTTATGTGGGCTAGTTTTTTATGATAGCTTATAACATACAATTATATATATTTGTGTATAAAGTCCACATAGATCTTACAATAAAAACATGTGAAGTGATTTCAGCTGATTCATTCAAGTAGTCAGGCACTACAACCTTAATAATATTTCCTACAAAACCATCAAACTTGGAAAGCTCGCATTTTAATTTACGGATGTTTGGAAACTTTTTCAGTAGCCCTTCCATGCCGTCCTTGTAATAAATCAATAGACCAGAAATTGTCTCTAGCTCATACAAATCGGAGGAAGAGTAACGATTTTTCTTCCGAAACCTGCAACAAGGGCTCTTAATGTGTAGATGCTTCAGTTTTGGAAGATTCCAGAAACTGTTAGGCCATAAGCATACATTTCCTCTTGTTCGATTCAAAAAGAGACATTCTAAATTGGAGAGGTTACCTATCGATGGCGGGATCTCCTCGAATCACTAAGAAAGCCAACTGAACCAGCAGTCCAATTTCATTTGGAAACACTGAACCGGCATCGATTTGCTCCAGATCCAACACTCTCAGAAGTTTGTAGATGTGAGCAGCGAATGAGATGTTTTGCGAGATTGAAACTTCCTTGTACATGAATCGTAGCGAACGTACATGAGGGAAAAAGACTTTTGATTCTACAAAATGTCGCGCCCGAGAGTGAATGCATAACCTACGTAGGCTAGATGGCTCATTAAATGCCAACAGCTCCTCATATCCTCCGCGGAGGAAATGGTGGAATCCATCATCGTTGGCTTTCTTCAAACAGAATTCATGAAGCAAGTCATGGATCCGGCATCTTTTAGCTCCCCTGTCCCATCTTTCTTCAGAAACCATAACTAAGCTTCTGTTGATCAATTCCTTGAGGTAAACTTTGGCAACATCTTCTAGCCTTGTCGTCTCATCAACTTTCCCGATGAATCCTTCAGCAATCCGTAAACGGAGCAACCTCCTGACAGAAACAATATGATCTTCAGGAAATGCTGCAAAATAGAGAAAGCATGGCCTTAAATGCTCTGGTAAATAACAGTAACTTTTCTCCAATGTGATTATACACTGCTCTGTGCTTTATACATTTGCTGAGCTTAAATCACCCACTACTTTAGCCCAATCCTCTGCTTCTACTAATGCTAAAAATCCAGCAACAATGAGAATTGTGAGAGGCAACCCTTTACAAAAGTTAGCAATTTGCGTCCCGAGATCACCTAATGGAGGTAGCGGACCATATGCAGCAACACATTTCTTTTGAAATAACTCCAGACTCTCTTCTTCATTGAGTGGCCTAATCTCATGAGGATTTTCGTCGAGCATACTTTGAGGAGAAATATCAAGACACCGACTTGTCAAAAGGATTCTACTTCCCATTGAATCATCAGGGAATGATTCTTGCAAGCTATCCCATGCTTCAATGTCCCATACATCATCCAAAAGTATGAGATATGGCCTTCCCTTCAAGCTGCGCCTCACTTTATCAGCTAAATCTTGTTCAGTCATCTCATCAGTGACCTCAGAGAACTTCTCAGGATCAGTTTGTTTCCGCAGATCAAGCAACATCTTCATCTTGTTAACCGTTTCTGACATGGTAGTCCGTGCACATACAGAAAAATGGCCTGAAATAGAATGATCATTGTAAACCTTAGTAGCAAGGGTAGTCTTACCTAATCTCGGCATACCCAAAATGGTCACAATCCGCAACTGTTTGGATCCTCTTCTGAGCCTATTTATGATTGATTTTGCATCAATCTGAAAGCCTACAACCTCTTCTGTCATTGACGGGTTTGTTTGTGAAGAAGACACCAGTCTATGGGTCGTGATTGTGTCCTTCACTTTGAGTTCTTGCCTTCTGTATTTGACTTTTGGCCCCTAGACTTCAATTTCTGACTTAATGATGCTGATGTCTTTCATGATAGCATTGGAAGATGTCGAAAACGAATCCGGGACCTCCTCTTTCACAAGGCAGTCAATGAGACATTCTATCCTACATGCCACCTCCAAAACATGATCCCAAAGAGTCTGGAGTTCTTTCTGATGATGGCGCAACTCCTGAATGTCCTCCAGGATTGATCTTAAGGAGACAAGTTCATCATGGATATTTAGAGCACCAGCCTTGGTGGTTGATTCAAATTTACATGAACTTGTAACCTCCTCCAGTCTTTCTATCAGAAGATCAACAAACCCCAATGGGTTAGTTCTAGGGATTCTGAACCTTGGTTGAACTTGTGTATCTTTGATTCCGAGTTCTACAAAGCATTCATTGAGAACTTTTTCCAGAAAAAAAATACCCCAAATGACCATCAAAATCTACAAAAACCTCATGAAGCCTCTCCAGATATAGTAAGATAATTATGAGTCCTGCGTCACATATAGCGCGGCTGCGAGAAATTCTGCTGTAGAGAAGTCAATGTTATTTTGCTGTTGCTTGAAAAATGTCCTGAGAGATCTAAGTCCTTCATATAGCTCTTGTAGTTGATCCATCTTTGAAGCCAGGCCAAGAGTATTAAGCTCTTCCCAAAGAATAGATATGAGGGAATCGAGGAAATTTCGTGTTGCGATAAGGGATTCATGGTAGATTAGTCTTTGTGTGAATTTAGGGTTTTACCGTAAACCCTAAACTCCTTGTAATTGTGTATTTAAACTTCCTGTTGGGAGTCGATTAATAACATACATAATGTTTGTACCATCCACGTCTGGTTTGTCATGGTATCAGGCTTGATAACCTTCAGCCATCAGTAATCTCTTTTCCTTCTCGTTTCTGTTCACGTGCAGCCGTTTGTCTTCTTCGGCTTGGCGTTCGTAGTTCCCATCGATCAGAATACGTTCATGTTTTCTTCCGGAGTATCCTTTGCTGTTTGGCGTCTTTGCAACATGGCCAACGGTGACAAATCCGTCAATACCCCTGTTTCTCCCTCCACTGAAACCCCTCTGTCATATTCTGTCGATCCTCCTCGCCGGAACACTATTAGCTTGTACGACTTGTCTTGTGGGGATGATCCTGGCCACCTCATCACCCAAGTCTTGTTAAAAAATGAAAATTATGGCGAGTGGAGTTGTGCTGTACGTACAGCTCTTCGTGCCCGGAAGAAGTTCAGCTTCGTCAACGGGACAATTCCTCAACCGCTGGTGGCTTCTCCTGACCTTGAATATTGGTGGACCAACAACTCTCTGTTGGTGTCTTGGCTGAAAAATTCGATGGACCCTTCTGTCCGTTCGACTGTCCCACACCGTGAAGTCGCCGCTATACTCTGGTCTGATCTCCGGGAGCGGTTTGTTGTGGTTAATGGGCTGCGAATTCATCAATTGAAGACCGACTGAGCCAATTGTAAGAAAAAGGGAATGAGTATGTTATCGTATTATGGCCTTTTACAGTTATTATGGGAGGAACTTCATAATTACGAGCCATTGCAAACCTGTCAGTGTGGTTCGCCGGATGTTCATGATGAATCAGAGTGCCGCCGTGAGTCGGAAAAGCTTCACCAGCTACTGAAGGGTTTGGACGCAACTCTGTACGATAATCTGCAATCCAGTCTTCTCTCCCAAGACCCCCTCCCTTCGGTGAATCGAGCTTACTCCCTGCTTGTTCAGGAAGAACAACTCTGGTCAATGACAACTTCCTCTAATGACACCGGCGATGCTGTAATGAGTTTTCAGATTCAGTCACCTCGGCCAACACTTCTTCCCACTACCATCTCTCGGTTTGATTCCAAATCCATGGAGTCAAAGGAGAAGTCTGTTATTTGTTCTCACTGTTGCAAACCGGGGCATGAAATTTCAAGTTGCTTCGATTTAATAGGCTACCCAGATTGGTGCCCAGTTCAAGTGGTCGTTCGGGTGGATCAGCTGGCCACGGGTCAGGTGGCCGTGGTGGTTCGACTGGTCATGGTTCGAATGGCTCAACGGTTGGTCACCCCGGTAATACTGTTGAGGCCTATTTTCCTTGTCCGGTTCAATTACCCAATGGGTCCTTGACTTGTCCATCTGATAAGAACGTAATTTACATATAAGTCACCCCGGTAATAGTGTTGAGATTGCTTCAAAGTGTATAATTTTAAATGAATTTTCTACTACCTAATATGGTTTATTTGTTATATCTTTTACAGGAGTGATATGAGCAAAATGCTTGAAAGATGATGAAAAGGACAATTTATGCACTTGAAGAAAATTTGGTGAAGTCATCAAGCACTCAGCAGAGTGAAGAGACCACTCCACGGAGTGATTCAGAGAAGAGAGCAACCGAGAGTTGACATTCTTCTTTCTGCACCACTCTATAGAGCAATTGGGGAACTCCACGGAGCAAAGTGCTGCTGAATGTGAACTTTCCAAACCACTCTGCGCAGTGAGGCAAGTCACTCTACGGAGTGATGCGGACCGATTTTTATGCAAGTTTTAACAAAAAACTAGGGTTGCGGATTTTCATAATAAATACCCTATGTACGCGCCAAAAAGAGATATCAGATCTTGGAGGAGGCTAATAGGGTTCCATAGAGAGAGACACAACAAGAGAAAGGTTGATGATCACTTCAACAACACAATCCGAAGCAAGATCGAAGTCGTCGGCGAATCACTCTCATAGAGTTTTCTTTCTCTCGACTTTGTGGACATGAACTCCTTGTTTTCTCTCTGTGTTTTAGTTTTTTATTCATCTAAGAGTAGCTAAACACCCTTCGGGGTTCAATTTCAAAGTACATGAAGATTGTTTGATTAGTTGTTAAACTTTGTGGTGAAGTTGAATATCTAAGTTGATTGTTCTTGTTGATACCCAGCAAATATCTCGATCACATACTTGTTGGTGCATGAAATCTTCATAGATCTAGGAAAGACTATGTTGGTTAGGTTTGTCAACTTGGGCCATGACTTGTAGTAAAAGTTCAAGGTTTCATGTCGGATACATGATTGGTCTTACAAGTTCTTGAGTGTAATGACCCCATGGTTGAGTTCTACTATAGGAATATAGGGGGTTCGCAACTAAGGCGATATCTCTTTGACTTTGGAAGAAGTTTTGAGGCAATAAAGTGAACCAGAACCAGTTAATATTCTGTCACCATAGGTTTAATAGCTTATCAACAATTGGATTGGAAATTGATATTGAACCCTATCTCCTCCATAACTGAAAAATCCTTTTAATTTAAACATTCCATTGTTTGCATTCTATTTTCTAAAAATCACTTCTATTATTTTGGTTACTTGCACTAAGAAAGATATCATTAGGAACACATATTTAATTTGCACGTCCTCGTGGGATCGACACCCCTTACCGCCACTATAATTGCAACTCGTAACCTTTCAAGTAAAAGGGGCTATTTTGCACACATCAAGTCTGGCGCCGTTACCAGGGACGACATAGATTATTTTGTGTGTTTTAGTTGTATTTTCTTACTTAGTGTTTACTTGTTTCTAAGCTTTGATTTGTATTGTATGACCAGGAGCAATCCTTCAGGTGAACTACTCTACATTCTTGAAATTGAGAAGACTTGCCGCCGGCTAAACAAAGAAAGAAAAGCTACGACGATGGCTGGGGTTGGAACCGGAAACACCGGAGATCAGACCCAAGATGAGCAGAGTCGAGTTGTTGTCAATAATAATGAGCAGAACCAAGAGACTAACAACAACCGAAACCAAGGGGAGCCACAAAGGTTGCTACGTGACTACTTCATCCCTCAAGCTGAGGAAACTCCAGCTGCAGTTGTATTGACCGACGTTGATGCACAACATGTCGAGCTTAGGTCGACAATGGTTCAGTGGGTGCAAGCTGCATGTCCATTCTATGGTTTACCAAATGAAGATCCGAATGAGCACACAAGGACCTTTCTCCGAATTTGTACCTCTTTTAAAATTCAAGGGCTGATGGTTGATGATGTGAGACTGAGGTTGTTTCCGTTCTTGTTGCAAGACAAGGCTCAAGCTTGGCTCAACACATTGCCTTTGAATGCCATCATGGCTTGGAATCAGCTTCGCCAAGCTTTCTTGACAAAATTCTTTCCTCCAAGCAAGGCTGCTCAGTATAGAAATGAGATCATGACTTTTCAGCAGTTTGCTAATGAGCCTTTACATGAAGCATGAGAACGTTTCAAAGAGCTATTGAGGAAGTTCCCACAACATGGAATTGAGGAGTTTATGCAGCTAGGTATCTTCCATGATGGATTGTTGGATGCTTCACGTAATTCTCTTGATTCTTCAGCTGGGAGAGCATTTATGATGAAGGGAGTTGAGGATGCTAAGAATTTGTTGGAGAACATCGCAACAAATCAATACTGCTGGCCGAAGGATGATAGGGCAATGCCTAAGAACTCAGGGGTTTATGAGCTAGATGCATCCACTCATCTACAAGATCAAGTTGCTACATTGACCAATGAGATTGCAAAGATTCGAGCAAGTTTAAATAAGCCAAATCCAGTGTTAAGTTGTGAGCTATGCATGGGGAACCATACAGTTGATGTTTGCCACTTAAACTCTGAAGAAGTTCAATATGTGAGGCAAGGAAATTTCGGGAATTCTTATAATGCAAATTGTAGGAACCATCCTAACTTCTTTTGGGGTGGAAATACACCACAAGGTGGATATTCAAAGCCTAATGTTCCTCTCGGATTTCAGCAATCATCGGCCAAGAATTCAAAGGAGGAAGATCAAATGACAGAGCTGAGAAATATGGCGCAATCTCTAGCAGCAAATCAATGCAATATGGAGGTGCAACTTGGTCAAATGGCTAGAGCTATCTCAGAAAGATCAATGGGTACCTTGCCTAGTGACACGGTGACTAATCCCAAGGGTTAAGG